TGCGAGCCCATGCTGGGTTCTGGGAGGACTGCATTCTCCGTGATCATCCCTTACGAGATACGTTGACTTCGTACATCCGGGATGGCGTTGACCTTTATGACCTTCTGCTTCCCAAATTCAGAGGCGAGTGGCCGTCTCTCCCCTACAATATTGATCATTTCCCGCAGCGCATTTTCTCCAACCACCGTTGGCCGCTGGAATTTGACAACTTCGTCGACGCAGAAATGCAATCCTTGCTCGACCGAGGTTGCATTTCCCGGTGGGCTGACGTCAAGAGCTCCACCGGTCCGGTGCGTCCTCGCATGATCATGGCTTTGTCGGTGGAGACGTCCAAACCGCGTCTTATCTATGACGCTCGACCGCTTAACAGCTGCACACGGAAAATACCTTTCGCCATGGACACGGTAGCGCGCGTGGCTAGCATTGCGTCGTCGGGATGCTACATGACGTCACTCGACGACTCCTCAGCGTTTCATCATGTTCTTCTGCGGCCATCGTCATGGCCTCTCTTCGGCTTATCCTACAAGGGCGTCGACTACTGCTGGTGCGTCCTCCCGTTCGGATTTAGCCTCAGCCCGTACGTCTACCATACTCTCAGCGAAGCGAAGGCGGCCTTTCAGCGTTCCAAAGGCGCCCCTTCTCTCGCATACCTCGATGATTCTTGGCGGAGCAACTTTCTGGCCACATATGGTCGGCCGGCGCGGGATCAGTGGTTGGCAGCCGGGGAAGCGACTCACGTCGCCATGCTGACTTCGCTCTTCTGCGGACAGTTCCTGTCACTCAAGAAGTGCGAGCTTCGACCCGTCACAGCTCTACAATACCTCGGCGTCATCTGCGATTCGGAGACGATGACCTTCCGGATCCCGCAAGAGAAGCTGGACAAGCTGCATGGCTTACTGCGGACAGCTCTGGCCGATGGGGGCGTGTCCTACCGAACGCTGCAACGCGTTGCGGGTAAGTGCATGAGCATGACGGTGGCGATTCGGCCGGCGTCGCTTTGGACGCATGCCATGTTTGCCGTCCTTTCCGCGATGGACAAAACCAACCAGCGTCAGATCGATCTGACACGTGATGCTTACGCGGATCTACGGCAAGAGTTCCAGAAGTGGCTGTCGCTGACGGCTTCTTCACACGAAGGGCCGTGGCAGCGAGCGAGCCACCTCATCGTCAAAATCGACGGATCATCAGACGCGTCTTCCCTTGGCTGGGTGGTGCTATCAACGTTAAGGGAGCTCAATACCGCGCAGGTGGCGTGTTCCCCGACGATTGGCTACACAAACATATAAACAAGAAAGAGATGTTTGCGTTGTACCACTTGTTGCGCCTATTCTGTGCGCGCTTTCCGGCTTCCTTGCAGCGGGCGCACGTGCTCATCGACGTCGACAATACCGCGGTGTGTGGATCTTTCAACAGGGGGCGGGCGCGCGACCCGGAAACGCATGCACTTCTTGTTCGTTTGTTCGAGCTACAAGTCGAGTATGAGTTTATGCTGTCCCTCAAATGGGTCCCGTCGGCTGCCAATGTCGTCGCTGATGATATCTCTCGCCCTTCGCGTGAGGGCATCATCAGGCTCAACCCGGCGGCCTTTCAGGCTCTCTGGGAGGACATGGGGCCGTTTACTATCGACCTCATGGCCTCCGACGCTTCGGCTCAACGTATCCCGGAGTCGGACGTTGTTCTGCCGTTTTTCTCGCGCTATGATTGCGAGGGTTCATCGGGTGTAGATGTTTTCGCCCAAGACGTGGCGTTGCGCCCAGGTACTCTGGATCGAGCATTCGGTTATTGTTTCCCGCCGCCGGTGATGGCGGGCCACGTAGTGCAACACCTTGCGGAGTGCCACGCGCATGCGGTTATTGTTCTACCGGGTTCTAGGTCTTACTGGTTCCCTCGAGTGCTGCAGGCGGCAGTGCGGTTTTTGCTGATTTCCCCGCCTAATGCGGGGGGATATTGTCAGTGGCCCTGCCCAGACGGGTCCCTGAAAGAGTGGAAGTACCCGAGGTGGTCCATGGTAGCTTACGAGGTTGATTTTACTTCTTGTTCTTAGGTGGCTGCCGCTCTTCAAGAAAAACAATCTTTTTGATTGACACCGGGACCTTGTAATGCAGCATGCGACTCTCGTCCATCTTGCCCAGTTCCCTCCCTTTGGCTTGTGGATGGCTTGTGCTTCGTATCACAGGTCCCCACCCTGCCTCCGGGCGGCTGTGTCCAGTTTGTCGCGTGTTCGTCGTGCCAGACGGAAAACGTGGGACATTACAACTACTGTTGGTCCTGCGGTGTTCAGCCTGCCCGCGGGCGTCCGGTACCGCGTGACCCTCAAGCGGCTCGGGTGTCGATCGATTTCGACGCGCTGCGCGCTCGTGGTGATCAGGTCCTCTCGGCCGCGTCTAACCGTCGTGCTCAACAGCGCAAGTGCGCCGTAGCGGACGGGTTCGACGCTTTCATACTTTCGGCGACTGAACAACGTCGGGGTTGGAAGCAGGCGTCGGACCGAGAGGTGTTTGACTATCTCTGCTTCTTGGACACACAAGGTAGTGGTACCAAGTGGGTGCACGACAGGGCATGCCCTGGTGTCGGCACGACTCACGGCCGCGATTGTCTTCCAAACTCGCCATGTGCTAAGCGGTATGCCGCCGCGTCCATGCAGAAAGGGATCGTGTCCAAGCTGAAGATGGCGATGCAAGAACAGTTGGGAAAAGACAGCAGCTGGGACCCTGCCACGCGCTCGGGCAACCCCTGATGTAGTCCTCTCGTCGACTCCTACCTCGTCTTCACGGGGGAGGAACAAAAACGTGTGGGTGTCGCTGTCAACCAGGCAGAGGCTATGTTGCCGCACGTCCTCATCGATCTGTTGAGGGACATGCGCTCTCGCGCGCAGACTGCGTCCTCTTTGGCGGAACGTATTGAGCTCACTCGGGACGTCGCTTTGTTTTCGCTGGCGTTCGCCTCCATGCGGCGAGGCCATGATCTCTCCTTCACTATGGGATCGCAAGTTCTGCGGTTGCCCGCGGGGCAGGGTCTGATTTTCAACTTCCAGTTTGGCAAGACCCTCCGCGACTCTGTTGATGCCGTGGTCGTGCGTCCGGACATCGCTTACCCGTCTATTTGTGCGGTAAGCAATGTTACGGCCTACATCAGTGCGGCGGAGGGTATTGGCTGGGATTTGTCCCAAGGGCATCTGTTTCCTATCGTTCTGCTGGATGGAACTCGGGGCTGCGCTCCGCTTACGGCGGTTCAGATGACGGCTGCCCTACAAGGGCATCTGCGAGCGGCGGGACTGCCGCACCGCTACACTATGCACTCGTTCCGCGTCGGAGGTTCTGTAGCGCAGTCGCTTGACGGAACGGCGATGGACGCTATCATGAAAATGGCCGGGTGGCGTACGGAGAGTGTAGCGAAGCGATATGTTGGCGCCACTACTAGTGTGGGGGCAACGGGTTCCAAGAGGATCCGTAGCGAGCTGTACGCAGACTCAAACGCGTTGCCGTTGTCAGCTGACTTCACATGCGATTTCTCTGCGTGTGCTCGCCGCGAAAAATAAAGAAAGTTTGGGTGGGCGAGACCTAGCTTAGATGCGTGAGTGGTCAATAACTAAGATGTGACAGATCGGATAATTAACAAGAAAGTAATGGGCGGGACCACAGGCCGGCGCAGGAGGCCTCACCCAACCAAATCCAATACTTACATTGAATGATCTGGGTAAGGGATAAGAATACAACAGTAATCTCGGATTTGAGACGCATCTAGATTTCGGAACGAAATCAGGAAGAGTCAGATATTCCAGAAAGGATGTTGGAAAATGACCCCACCTAGTTTAGTCCCCCTTTTCTCTCCCGAAATACGCCGGAGCAGAGAAGAAGGGGTATATTTGAGACCATCCCACCCGCCCTACACAATGCTTACGATATTCATGAACTTGCTGATCATTCAATATCTTTGCACCCAGCCCAAAGGGTTACTTGTGGCGAGGCCCTCCTGCAGGCGCAGGAGGCCTCACCCAACCAAATCCAATACTTACATTGAATGATCTGGGTAAGGGATAAGAATACAACAGGATTTCAGGGGTGATGGTCAAGGAGGGGAGGGTACTAGACAGAACAGTGGAGGGGATGAAAGAGCAATTTTCCACCAAGGGCAGGTACCACCGCCTCAGCAGTGGCAGCCACAGCAGCAGCAACTATTACAGCAGCAGCCGCAGCAACAGCAGTCGCAGCAACAGCAGTCGCAGCAACAGCAGTCGCAGCAGCAGCAGTGGCAACCGCAACCGCCACCGCCGCAAATGCAGGCGCCACAGCAGTACTGGTCACAGGGAGGGGGGGGGGCATGACGGGGGTCCTCAAGGTGGCACGGTCTACCAAGACCAGAAGGGCAACTTCCACACTGGAAGGTGGGTGGGAGTTGACAAAGGGGGTGATGTGTCTGTCAAGGAGGAAGTGAAGGAGGAAGAGGTGTTGAGGGAAGAAAATACTACACACGTTGATGACAAGCTACAAACAGAGTTCCAGGAAGAGTTGTCGAACAAGGAGAAGGAAATCGAAGCTCTGAAGCAGAAGTTGGCTGAAATGGGAGGTCAGTTCAAACAGCTGAGCCTCCAGGACTCTGACGTAAGGCCTGTCAACCAAAAGCAGCAAGATGTTGTATCAACGCCCGTAGCGACGGTTGATAAAGAACCGGAAGGTGTCACGATTCAGCCGTTGACAGAGAGGATGAAACAAAAGATCATGACGGGTTACGTGACGATAAACATGAAGGACTGGACAAAACTCCCTTTGATACCACTCTCTGAGTCGCCATGAGAGTTGGTTTCTTTCAACCGAAGGTTGGAAGAGACGGTCAATGATGTGATGTTGGCGGTGGGAGATTACAATGGTTGGTGGGTGCCGGGATGGGAAAAACCTGTGCACAGACATCTGATGACTTCCGTCACCCGATCCATGTCCGCTGCCCAGACGATGACGTTCCGCGAGAAGATAGACAAGGTCTTCTCGGATACGTCGGAGAAGATGGCAAGAGGGTCGACAGGTAGAGAGGCCTTGACATTCTTGACTTCGGCGTTGGGGAGGGTTGTGAGTTCATCCTCGCCCGAGAAGTTGGTGTACGACTTGCAGACTTTTACGGTACCGACTGGAACGCCGTATAGTGAGTACCTGACTACCTTGCACGGGTTGGTGCACAATGTTCGAAACTTGGGAATTGTGACGCCGCAGGATAACACCATTCAACTGGCAGTGAGAGAGAGTGTGTCCGATCAATACAGTGTCCTGACCGCTTCTGTGTTTAAGGGCAAGCAGTTGGGGTTGGTGCCGTTCGATAACATCGACACCTTGATGCAGGAATTGCGAAATTTCGAGGCGGTGAAGGGGGGGGCCACGACTCCAACGCGGAGGTCGGCTCAGGTAAAGGGTTCCTCGGGGGGGAGGCAGGGACAGAAAAGGGATGGAGGAGGGGGGACAGGGTCAGGTGGAACGAATACCTTTCGGTCCGCGTCTCCGGGCAGGTTGGATGGTGGATATGGGGGGAGAAGGGTGATGACGGTGGACGAGGTCGATTGTGAAGATGAATGTGCAGAGTTTCAAAGAGTCTATGACATTCACGTGTCGCCTCGCACTAACAGCCAAATGAAGGATTGTCCCTTTTTCGCGTGGTTTACGTCTGTCGAGGAAAAGGACAGGCACCGGCGGGCATTCGGGTCAAGATGTTTGAAGTGTGGTAGTGAAGGACACTTTGTGCGTGATTGTGACAAGGGTTACATTTAACGCCCTCAAACATGTTGAACCGTAATTTTGGCAAACGGGTCACCGGCTGAAGTCAAGGCAAGGTGGGATCGATGGTTGAATCGCCTGAAGCAGTGGCAAGCACATCGTACGGAGGAAAGGAGGAGGGAGAGAAATAATTGATGGTGCGACGGTCCGTTGGCCAGCTTGCCGGCAGCACCTTGGCCGAACTGCTTTGTGGGTGGTCAAGCAGAAGAGAAGGGTGAAGGGGGGGGAAGATATTGCGAGAATAACAAAGAATTCCGCGGGGAGGAGGTGAAGGGTGAAAGGGGTAGAAGATATAGCGAGAATAACAAAGAATTCCGCGGGGAGGAGGTGAAGGGTGAAGGGGGTGAAAGATATGGCGTGAATAACAAAGAATTCCGCAGGGTGGAGGTGCAGGGTGAAAGAGGTCCCGGGTATTATCATGACGAAAAGAAATGCCGCGGGCAGATGGGAAGAAAGCAGAGCCAAGGGCCGGGATCAAAGAAGAATCTCGGGGCGGCTGGGGTAAGCGCAGAACAATCATCACGCGAGAACATCCAGGACGACTCGCAGAAGGAGATTGTAGAGGAGGAGGGGGCCCGTTCGGTGGTGCACAACACCGAGGGTGATGGCCTGGCGACGAGGAGCTTCTCGTCCAACCACGGTAAGCGACGTTTGTCAGTATCTAAGGAGTATTCCAAGCAGGGTGGAAGTAATTATCCCAAGCTGCATGTGGTTTCGGGTGCTGATAAATTGAACTGCACGGGTGTCGACCGTGGGAGCAAGAATGTATTGGGGAGTAGGCCCCCGCAAGAAATTCTTGGTCATAGTGTTTCGCAAGATGCACGTGTACAGCTTCAGGAAATAATCACTAGTAAGACAAACAGGATTTTTCCAGAAGTAGGGGTGACAAGCACGCCCCCTTCGTCCGATCAAACGAAGTCTAGCATTGACAAAAAGGGAAATGTTGGTGGCAATGCAAAACCAGCGGGGAATGCGTTAACCTCTCAACGTAAGAAAATACGCAAGGCAAATTCTCCGAGGACAGTGAAATATCCGCCGGATCCCCAACCGGAGCACACTGTTGGTCGAAATGGTGCCAAAAAGGGGTCGATTAATCGGGACACTAGAATGGAAAAAAGCGTTACCGTTGATCGTGCTGGAAGCAAGCAGAACCATGAAACTGTTGCTTTACAAGTGATAAGAGAAGAGGGCGTGATAGGGGATGCATCCGCCTCTGACAATTCTCTCAAGCGTGAGGTTGAGGTAACAGCGCAGGAGGGAGGGAATTTTGGTGAAACACAAGAAGGAACAGATCGCGTTTTTGCCGTACAAGTATCTGTTAGTTCTGTGTCAGGACAAAGAAGTGATGCGGTGTATCCTCCGCCTCCTTTTACGTTTGCTGCAGGTGAAGCGGTGGACTACCTGTCACCATTTACTCGGTCGGTCGGTGGGGATTTGACGATGGATCGACACCGGCATACGACAAGAGTGCAAGTGTTCGCGGGGTCAAGAGCGACCAAGATGATGTCGTGGGAGGCTCTGTTGGATACGGGAAGTCCGGCATCGTTTGTACAAGAAAGGTGTGTGCAAAAGATGTTGGCATGCGGTTCTGCTTCAGATGATAGCATCGAAACAGGGCTGAATAAGAAATGGGGTGGGTTCCATGGGGTGCCGTTGGTTACTGATCGAAGAATGCGATTAAATATTGAAATGTGGAAGGGCGGAAAATCAGCGCCGGTTCATTTTGGTACACCGACGGTACGGACGAGTGTGTATGCGTATATCGTGCCAGACGCAGCCATGGGACATGATCTGATACTAGGGAGGGATAGCTGGGCTGATTTTCCAGTTCGCAGATTCCAAGACGTGTCGGACACAGAAACAATTGTCACTTTTGTCGGTTCAAATACGGATAAAGTGGCAGGTGATCACCGCTTTGATGAATGGGTGGGTAATGCGGTGGGTATGGTGGAAACGGAAGGTGATGGAAAGGTGGTGGTGAAATCTAATGGTAGTAGACGACGGCTTCCAAATGCAATGTCATGGGTGGAGGTAAAATTGACCAACCTAGATGGCAGTGACGCGGCGGTAGGGACGTACCGTGTGCAATTTGGGAAGAAGTGGTTCCCGCAGGAAGCATTAGTCGAAAATGGCACGTCTGAAATTCCTCGGAGAAGGGTAGGGGACAGCTCGTGTCTGGTGAAACCAAACGATATTTTGGGGTATGGTGGTGAACCCCTGGAGGTGGTAAATTTGGATGATGCTCGTTTGGTGGAAAATGAGGAATTCAAAAATGTGTTTGCGGTTCAGGAAGGTGAAGAGGCTGACATGCCTAACGACGAACCTCCCGCTGATGTTATGTCTTCTTTGGATGGGGCGCAACAGGTGGCGTTCAGGCGGTTGTGGCAGAGGGTGCCTCCGCACATTCGAGACGTCCATTTCGACTTCAATGCGAAACTGTGGGAGCCGGAGGACATTGACAAACTAGGTGATTTGTTGTGCAAATTTGAGCATCGTTTTTCGAAGGGTGGTTCGGATTTAGGACGGGCGACGGTGGATCCGTGTCGAATCATTTTGAAGCCGGGGGCACAGCCAGTGCGGCAGAGACCATACCGCTATTCGCCGGTTATGAACGAAAAGGTGCAGATCGAAATTGACAAATTGCTGTTGGCGGGTGTGTTGCGGAGATCGTACAGCAATTGGGCGAGTCCGTTGGTGGTAGTCGCGAAGGCGAACGGTGGTGTGCGGTTGACGGTCAACTATAAGCGCATCAATAAAATGAGTGTAATCCCTAAATTGCCCATTCCAATAGTGGAGGATATTTTGGCGGAATTGGACAAATCGAAAATCTTCAGTACGCTGGATTTGGTCAGTGGGTTTTTCCAGTGCAGTATTGAAGAGGACAGCATTCCGATCACTGCTGTTATCACGTCTACGGGGTTGTACGAATTTTTATCCGTGCCGCAAGGTCTCAGTAGTAGTCCTGGATGGTTTCATTCGGTGATGGCCAGAGTATGTGACGGACTGGAACGTGTGCGTCTGTTTATTGATGACGTGATCGTTTTTTCCAGGGACGGGGCAGAACACGTGCGCGACCTGGAGAGGTTTTTCGAGCGCATGGTCAAGTTCAACCTGAAACTGGCACCCAAGAAGACGAACCTGGGGGTGAAGGTGGTGACGTTCTTGGGACATCAAGTCACGGCGGAAGGGATCGGGCCGGACCCGGGAAAGGTCAGACCGCTGCGTGAAGTGCCAATGCCCACTCATGTTAGCCAGCTGCGATCGTTGTTGGGGTCTTTGTCGTACTATCGAAAGTTTCTGAGGAACATGTCGGCAAAATTGAAACCGATCAATGCGATGCTGAAAAAGGGGGCGAAGTTTGCATTCACGGCTGATCATGTGGCTGTGGTGAGGAAAATGATGGATATTTTGTCAGGTCCTGCCTGAGGTATTGGCATTTCCGTGTTATGAGGGTGCGATCTCGGGAGAGCGGCCGTTTCGTTTAACCGCTGATGCGTCGATTTCGGGCTTGGGAGCCGTAATTGAGCAAGAGCAACGAGATGGAAGTATTAGACCGCTATGCTTTTTGAGCAGATCAACATTCCCAAATGAAACGAGATGGAGTCCGACTGAGCTTGAAGCGGGTGCGATAGTGTGGGCGATAAAGAAGAATCGAACACCATTTTATGGCATTCCCTTTGAAGTGTACAGTGACCATCAACCCTTGCGGAATATGGGGAGCTTGGCAGAGAAAAACAATCGCGTACACAGGTGGTATGACTTCCTGTCAGCGTACACGTCTGAACTTAAGTATCGACCAGGGCGAGAGAATGCAAATGCCGATTTGATGTCAAGGTTGCCATTGCCTGCGACGAAAGAGGATGAGGCACCAGATCTCAGGCTAACTGATCCGTCTGATCTCGATGTTTATATGATAGGTGCGAGCGGGGTGCTACCTTCGCGATTGGGTCCGGTGTATACCGAGCGAGAGGCGCTCGCTGGGTCGAACCATCGCGATGATTTGGTGGTGGGGGAAAGTGGCTGTATTACACCGGCAAGCCTCACTACGGATGAACTGGCAGACAAGACGTGGGCACTGATCCAAAGGGGGAAGGGCGTGTTCAACCCTTTGGCTGATGGTGCGTGTGTGCCTGATGACACCCGATTGGTGGAACCGAGTGGGGAAGTAGTCAGTGGTCAGTTTGAAGCAGGGCTGATTTTGCATGCTGTACCTTTAACGGAAGTTGGCAGACGCTTGTTAGGATTGGTGGAAAAACCGCGAGTGTATGCTATTTCTCAAGAAGGAGGCAGTGCCTCTGGTGGTGGTGGAGGTAGTAGTAGTAACGCTCGTGAGAGTGGGGCTGTTGCTGATGGTGGGGGTGGCAGTAATGCTCGTAGTAGTAGGGCTGTTGCGCGTGGAAGGGGTCGAGGTGGTGCGGCTCGAGGTAGAGGGGTTGCTGGTAGTGGAAGGGGAAGGGGTTCCGGGGGCAGGGGTCCGGCAGCACCTCCGTTGCCTCAAATTCCGTTGCAAGAGTATGATGAAGAACAGACGCAAGCGGCAATTGAATTTGGGGAGAATTTATGTGATAAGACGGCTAGTGATTGGGTAAATATTCAGGAGGAAGATGATACGGCGCGACTAGCAATTGCGGCCATTGAAGGACATGCCGATCCAAAGCGAATGAAGGAGGAAGATATTCCGGACGATGTAGATGTTGACTTGGATGAGTTGAAGCGGTTGGTTGCACAGGGTACATTGTTGGTGTTACCGAATTCTAAGCATTTGTTGGTAAGGAAGGAGTCGAAACCCCCTGCAGAAAATCAAAATCGAAATCCAGGGCAATTTGAGAGGTTGGTAGGAGAAGAGCCAGTTCGGACGTATGTGCCTAGGATGTTGAGACCGTGGGTCATGGATTGCGCCCACAAAGAAGCGGTGCATTTGGGAGAGAAGGTGACTTTAGGTATTTTACAGAGGGTGTATTGGTGGATAGGAATGGGTGAAAGTGTGCGGTGGT